AAACACTGGGAAGAAATAGTAAATCACCATTTGTGGGACTCTGATCAGATAGTAACCAAAGACATGTCTGTTCTAGATAAATTGTCCTTATTAACTCCTTCTAGTTTGGAAAGAAGCAGAAAAAGCACAGTCAGGTTGGACTGCATACCAGAAATAAGAGAAAACTCATTATCAGAAAGGAAAAGCTCTTCTATCTCCTCTAGATGCTGCAAGGATTGTGCATTTAACAGACTTTTCTACTGTTATTCCTGAAAGAAACTAGGAAAACAAAATGTTTTTTTCTAAAATCCAACAGAAGAACTCTTCTTCTGCTCTTTCAGAATCAAATTTATCTTCAGCACCAACATGAAGTGTGAATTTTGTTGCTGTACTCACAAAGAGAATCTAGTAGAAGATTATCAGAAAGGAAAAGCTCTTCTATCTCCTCTAGATGCTGCAAGGATTGTGCATTTAACAGACTTTTCTACTGATGGGGAAAAAAGTCTCCATTCATTAAAAATACTCTGTCCAAATTCCCTAAAACTGAAAAACAGGTTATTTTATGATCCAAGCTGCAATACCTCTGTAGCCAATTTTAGTAAATAGAAAAGAATAAATGAAGGATTAATTTATGCTAGTAACAAAGGATGCAGACACTGGGTTATTGATTTTTACAGTTTCTATGGCCTCTCTGCTGATTAACTTACAAAATAATATTTACAGGAAATTATTTTTTATCTGAAAGGCATGGACTTATTATGCACACACATGCACAAACACACACACAGAGCTATATCCAACAGCAAGCCAGAAACAAATATTGTTCAAATGTTACATTCATAGTGTATTTCAATACAGACATTTTTATTTTATAAATATTTTATAAACAGACTGAACAACTTTTAAAAACATTCATTTAAAAACAGAAACAAAAAACTGAGTATGTGGCCATGATGAACTTATGCATACTTAAGAAAAAACTGAAGTAGAATGATGCATGTCTGAAAACACTAACTAGTCACAAATGTTCTCAAGTGATCTGAAGAGATGACTATCCTATTTTGGGATTCTCGTTATGGCATTTATTTAATATTATTTGCTAGTGTACTGTCATGTTGCCATTTATTAGCACCACTAGTGGCAGTGTTTCTGTCCATGGAGTTTAGAAACACTGTCACTCATTTCATTATGCTAGCAAGGTTATGCTCAAAATCCTAGAAGGTAGGCTTCAGCAGTATGTGGACCGAGAACTCCCAGAAGTACAAGCTGGATTCCGCAGGGGCAAAGGAACTAGAGAACAAATTGCCAACATTCGCTGCATTATGAAGAAAGCCAGAGAGTTAAAAAAAAATATCTACTTCCGCTTCATTGACTACGCAAAAGCCTTGACTGTGTGGACCACAGCAAACTATGGCAAGTCCTTAAGGCCTGACCACCTTATATATCTCCTGAGAAATCTATACGTGGGACAGGAAGCAACAGTTAGAACTGGAAATGGAACAACTGATGGGTTCAAAAGTGGGAAAGGAGTACGACAAGGCTGCATATTGTCTCCCTGCTTATTTAACTTATATGCAGAATACATTACGCGAAAGGCTGGACTGGAGGAATCCCAAGCTGGAATTAAGATTGGTGGAAAAAATATCAACAACCTCCGATATGCAGATGATACCACTCCGATGGCAAAAAATGAGGAGGAATTAAAGAACCTCTTAATGAGGGTAAAAGAGGAGAGTGCAAAAAATGGTCTGAAGCTCAACATCAAAAAAACCAAGATCATGGACACTGGTCCCGTCACCTCCTGGTAAAGAGAAGGGGAAGATATGGGGGCAGTGACAGGTTTTACTTTCTTGGGCTCCATGATCACTGCGGATGATGACAGCAGCCACAAAATTAAGACGCCTGCTTCTTGGGAGGAAAGTGATGACAAACCTAGACAGCATCTTAAAAAGCAGAAATATCATCTTGCCAACAAAAGTCAGAATAGTCAAAGCTATGGTTTTTCCCGTAGTGATGTATGGAAGTGAGAGCTGGACCATAAAGAAGGCCGACCGCCAAAGAATTGATGCTTTTGAATTGTGGTGCTGCAGGAGACTCCTGAGAGTCCCCTGGACTGCAAAGCGAACCAACCTATCCATTCTTAGGGAAATCAACCCTGAGTGCTCACTGGAAGGACACATCTTGAAGCTGAGGCTCCAATACTTTGGCCATCTCATGAGAAGAGAAGACGCCCTGGAAAAGACCCTGATGTTGGGAAAGTGTGAAAGCAAGAGGAGAAGGGGACGACAGAGGACAAGATGGTTGGACAGTGTCATTGAAGCTACCAACATGAATTTGACCCAACTTTGGGAGGCAGTGGAAGACCCTTGCATGCTCTGGTCCATGGGGTCACGAAGAGTCAGACATGACTTAACGACTAAACAACAAAAAAGTGGCAGTATATTACACTCAAAACAATGGATTGTCCCTGGACAAAATACACAAATTAAAAAACAAACCTTTTTCCAAACAGCTAAAACAGGCAGATGAAATAAATGAGCCAAAAGGCAAATAAAAAGTAATTGGTCCTGAATAAAGAAACATCCATTTGAGAAAAGAAGAAAGCAACCAAGTGAAGCAGAAGTGGAATGGGCCAACCAAAATTCAGAAGGCCAGAAAGGCAGGTAAAAGCACTTTCTTTGTTGCTGCAGAAACCCAAAGCTAAAAGGATGTATTTTCAAACTGCCTTAATTGTTTCTGTGATGAAAGCAGAGACCTGGAGTCTAGATCCTCTACCAAAGTATTGCCTCTTAAATGCTTACATGCTGGTATCAAAGCATGCATGCTGATACTTTGGAATGTATTTAATTAAAAAGTAACACCTTGCAATATTTCATACCGGCATGCCTCACATTTTGCAATGTAATATCGCTACCCTGATTACCAACAGCTAGACATAACCAAGCATTTCTGATCTTTCTCAGATGCCTCAGCAAAACCCTTCCTCAGACCCACAAGGAAAAATACTCCTCATATTAAGATACATTGTCTTTTTTTTTCTTTTTTCTTTTTTGCAATATGGCTGAAGAATGTGGTATTTCTAGATCTTCTGGAAAGTTTTAGGTTAAAAAATTAGAAACACAGTTAATTTTGAACAGCTAAAGTGGATATCTCTGTGAGCTAGAGCACCTGGTTGAGGAGACACAGGTCAAGAGTTCAATTTCTTTTTGTGAGCTTGGCCAAGCTACATAGTTCCAGAGCATCCCCAGAAAAAGAGAATGGTAAACCACTTACTGTATCTACCTAGAAAACTTTGGAAAAGGCTGCCATAAATTGGCATCAAAAAACCACTTATCTACCTAGAAAACTTTGGAAAAGGCTGCCATAAATTGGCATCAACCTGACAACACATGTTTTTTATTATTATTAAGCACAGAATTCATTAGAAAGCATATATTCTACAATTCTACAAGGGTATACAGAGACAAATCTCATAATGTGTCAAAAGTATGAGGCTCTCATACTGGGCACATGACGAGATGGCAAGATTCGCTGGAAAAGACAATAATGCTGGGAAAAGCTGTAGGCAGCAGAAAAGTATAAATTTATTTATTTATTTAATGTATAGGCCGCCCACACTACCCAAAGCTCCCTGGGTGGCTTACAACATTTAAAATACAATAAAAATACAGAACAATTAAATACAATTAAAATATATATAAAATTTGCCATTGGACCCACAGCTAATATTATTTCAACTCAAAGCCTTCTAAATATGGGATGAATTAGCTCCATAAGGAATCCACAACCTTGAGTTTACAGAAGCTGAGCAGGGCTGTTGAAGGCAGAACATTTTGGAGGTGACTCATTCATAGGGCTGCTGTAAGTTGGAGGTGATTTGAGGGCACAAAACAATATGCACATACAAAATGACTGTTAAGTAGAACATACAGGCACATCCTGATTTGTAACTGGAGAAGAATTTGATATGCTCAGCATATCAGTTTTCAGATAAAGCAACAAGTTTTAGCTCCCCTTTTAACCAATTGAAAACTCAGACAGATGGAGTACAGAAAAGCTAAAGAATGAAGAAAGGATACAATAGTCTAAAAGTAAGCATGTGTGCCTTGGTCATTATTACTAAGGCGCACATGCCCTGCCTATATCTATATCTTTATTCTTTGCCTCCTTTGTCCTTATTACCAACTAAAATCCAGTAGCCTTCCATCACTGCATCCTAAATCATCCATAACCATAACTGTTTTCCAATTTGCAAAATGTAAAACATTTGTGTCCACAACGCTGGCTTGACTACACAGGGTTGGCTTCCTAGGATTCCTTGTGTACAGTACTAAAGAACTTTGAAAACTGTAAACATTTATCATATACAAGAGCTTTTTTCAGGTATTGTCTTTGACAAAATACAGTCTTTCACACATTCAGACAATGGTTTAGTTCAGTGGTCCCCAACCTTTTTAACCCCACAGACCGGCTGGGGAAGCCGCGGCACCACCACCCACGCGCTCATGCACACACACGAAGGAGCAAGCACGCTGTCTCGTGGGCTAGCGCACTCATGCACATGCCTGATGGAGCGAGAGGGAACTCGTGCGGGCACAAAGTAGTGGGAGGGCACTTGTGTGAGCGCTCATACTCCCATGAGCATTTGTGAAGGGCAACACAGTGCTTGTGCGGTCGCGGGTGCATGCATGCACATAGGTGCTGTGCAGGGAAGTGCGTGAGGGGATGGGGGGAGGTCTGTCTCCATGGCCTGGTCCAGCTCAGGCCATGGACCAGCACTGGGCCGCGGACCAGGGGTTGGGGACTTCTGGTCTAGCTGACTTCCAAATGGGTTGGAATGGGTCTGAAGTGCATTATCTATTCACACATTCAGGCAAATGCCTGAATACATTGAATGCTTAGATTAGAAATGAATTGGTTAAATAGTTATATGTCTAAAATATGGGGATGACTGCATTCTCAAATAGCAATAAACAGAATGTTTGCTATATTTAAATGCCTTCTGAAAAGATATACCTTACCTTTTTGTCGCTTCATCTGCGGAAAGCTGCTGATAGTGGTTGCTTGAACTATTTCCACTACAATCTGGTATCTGGGATACAGAGGAAAAAATGGAATTCTGTCATCTTTATGTGTGTGGCTAATAACAGCACTACTCTTTAATATAGTAATGACAACAAACCATTTGGCGCAGACGGGGCCTAATATTGTTTCCTTGGAGGTATAGCTTCACTGACATGAAAGATAGCAAGTTTGCACTTCCTTGAATGATTACAGTAAGCAGGCTACAAATTGTGTCCCTCAAAAAGTTTCATACTGAGTTCAAACACTCAATATACGGTACTGAGCTTTCAAAGCTTCCAAAGAAAGGAGCAGCAGTTTTTAAAGCACTTCAGTTGTCACATTCACAATAATCAACGAAGTTATTTAAGATTACCAAAACAGCATTTGATTCAGTCTACACAGCTTACAAAGCACAATATGCTCTTGGGCATTGATCCTAGTCAGCTAAGTGTGTCTTATATTCCTCCCCCCCCTCCGCTTTTGTTAAATTACAAATTCTCTGGATGCCAACCACTGCTATGTTCACTTCAGTCTGTCAACCACCTTGTTTTTGCAGATGATACCAAAGGTCATCCAATAAGTCTGTTCAACTCCAATGCCAACAGCTTTGAGGTGGGGGGATTTTACAACAAATATTCATTTTTTTCCCCAAAACTGCATGCATATATGTCAATTATGGCAACATTTCAAAATACACAGCAATTTCCAGGATGCCATAATTGATTCTCAAAATTCAAAATGATTAAATTTAATCAATGGCAGCTGGGAGGGAGAGATACCTTTTAGCTATTTGCTGAATATGCACACAGTAAGTCAAGCAAGCTACAACACTGCTGAGTTATATCTGCAGCTTTCAAAAAGTATTCCCATTTATGAAGATCCTTGTAAAGCACTGCACTGCAGTGGAATGGCCTGCTTTGCATATAATGGTGATCTAGACTTTAGCAGTATGTAGACAATATTCTGAATGCCCAAATGAAGCCTTGCACCTCCAGCCACAGACAAATTCTAGTCAACTGCTCTGTGAGTACAGAATAAACTCTGGATTGTTTTGTCAGCTTGTTTACAAAATTAGAATTTTTTAAAGCCACAATTTCTAGTTCATATGTGTTTAACGACGAGCCAAGAAAAGATAAAACAGAAACAGATCGGCAAGAGTTCACTTGTTAGCTTTGCAGGAGGCAGTCAGGGAGCCTCAGTGTTTTACTTCAGTGTCTACTGTCCGTGTAGCTTAACTGTGGATTTGTGTTACATACAAGTATGATATTTTCTTAACTTGAGACCAGAAGGACACAGCAGAATGGGAAGCATCCTACAATGCATGTTAAGAGACAATTTCCCACAAAATAATTGTCTCGCGAGAATACTATGATGCATCAAAATAAACAATGTATTCTAGAACAAGTAGCAAGTCTTGTAATAAATAAATGAGATTCCTTTGTGGTTCTATCCATGATTAGAGGATTCACACACACCATTGAGTGAATGACTACAAAGCAGAAAAAATGTATTCACACCTGGAAAGTTGGGTGAATTTGTTTTATCAACCACAGAGGAGTCTGCAGAGAGGGGGGAGAAAATTGGCAATCAGCCCTAGTTTGCAGTTTGTTAAGATAGTTCCTGCTGTAGCCATCCAGATTCACAGGAGGCATGGCTACAGCAGTTACCCTTAGCTGCAAACAAGGATTGATTGCCAATCTCCTCCTCCTCCTCCTCTCTCTCTCTCAAGCTGCAAACAAGGATTGATTGCCAATCCCTCCTCCTCCTCCTCCTCCTCTCTCTCTCTCCTGATTCCTGTATGGTTGGCTAAAGCAAATGGACTTTCACCAGATAGTTCTTATAAACAAAGGCCGATTATCAACTACCTCCTTGCGCTCCGAAGATGGTTTGGAGACAAAGAGTGCTCAGTTGAGGGGAACTGAAATCTCCATTCGCTTCCTTTCTCCTAATTTTGAATGAGGAAGATGGAAGAGCAATCTCCTGGTCACCTATACAGCCACAAAGCTGCACCAGCCCAAGCAATCATGAAAAGGCATGGATTTGGAGGAAAGGGGTACTTCAGGCTGATTCATATTGACTTGTACATCATGTAGTCAATTATTTGTCAATTTAGTTACCCCTTAAAACATTTTAATACTAAATACAATAATGTGACACTGCTATTTGGAAGATTTGAATGCATACATCATAAGAAGGGCTTGATGCTGAGACGAGACAGCAGCAGGAAGACAGAGCTCCATCCCCTGGGCTGAATTCCGACCTGTTTGGGACCCCCCAGGGGTTTAAAACCACCCCGAGGAGAAGCCTGTTGATCACGGGGAGGACGGCAGTTACCCCTGTTTGATCCAGGAAAGTCCCCAAGCAACCAGCGGGTGGAAACAAGCAGCTGCATAGCTTGCTTGCAAGTCGTCAGCAGCCAGCAATGGAGAAGCGATAAATCAGCTAATTAACATCACTATTACCCCTGGATGAGAAATATTTTTATAACTGTACTGCTTTATGACTGTCCCTGGATGAGACAATCCCTATAACAGAAATAGCATCTCCTATCCCTACCACTTATAGAGCAGCGGTGAATCTGGAGAGAGGGAAGAGACGCAAAGAAAATAAATTGGACATTAATTAAACATTTAATTATACTTCAGGGAAGGAAGTTTGGTATTACTTTGGCGTTAGAAACTTAAGAAATCTTTCTCCTAAAATCATCATTAGCTAAACAACTCTGGGGAGTTAATCTTACTATGTTATGACTTCAGCTATTTACCTACAGCATTGGCAAAAAGCCCAGAACAATGACCTTGAACACTCTATGACGGTTATGAATTCCTTTTTTTTCCTGCGGACTGAACTGAAACATAGACAAATTAACCCTAGAAAGCCTAATCCTGCCAAAGTGGAATTTTTAAACTGTATCCAGGGTTCTGAAGTTGACTACAGCACAAGCTGGGACAGAATTGATACTGGAATGGATTGCCTGTGGGGCTGGATTACAAACATCAAGTGAACTATTTGGTGAGCAAGTGTGCTTGAGCCTTCAAGCAGGGAAAGCCCTTTACGTCTGAGACTGAATTCAAGTTTAACCCTAAAGATGATCAGTCTATTAAAGTGGACCTATGGAAGCAAGTATTGATGGAATTGGACTGATTACTTTAAGCAACTGGACAACTTTCACTTGGAATACAATTATTTGATATGTAGAACATAATGCTATAACAAGGAAAGTTTGGGGGAATGAAACAAAATCTACCGTTCAAGCAATTTTAGAAATAGTGAGATCCCACAATAAAGAGGCGAAATTATTCAATGAGCAGTTAAGGAAGGACTATAGTCAACAGTAGACAGGGAATAATGAACAAAGAAATGCAAGGGTGGTGGATGATGGATGCCAATCAAAGGAGGGGCTGGAGGAAATCAGAGGAGAACATTTAGGAGATCTAATTCTAACCCTGGAGTCGAGGAGAGTCTTAGGTGCGCTAAGGGGAGAGAACCAGGAGATTTAATTAAAAATAGTCTGGAAGACCGATTGGAGATATATCAAGTTCATAAAATGATCTCAGATGGTACAAGGGACAGCAGAGAGATAGAAATAAGAATTGGGGAAAGATAAATAAGAGGAGTTACTTAGAACAATGAAAAAGAAAAAAATATTAAGGTGGCCTTCAGTGTTGAAAGCATGTATACATCTAACTTCTGGTATTGTAAAGGGACGTACAGTATCTTATATATTAGGAAAGGGAATTAAACTGAAATAAGGGATCGCTAATCAGAATAAAGGCATAACACGGTGGTTCTTAAGGTAAATTGAAGCTAGACATAAGGATGAGGTAAAACAAATAGTACTTAATTAACATAGATATGATATTGATATAGACATGACAGAAAATGTGGAGATACAAATGGCTAAACAATTATATAAAGAAAATCTGAAATGCTTTAGATAACATCGATTATGTGTTAGGAACCTATTTAGTTATTATTGGTATAAAATACAAAGTTGGTTGGTTAAATTGCCTCAAAATTATACAGATGTGAAACCAGAATTGCTTTTATTAGGTATTTTATTAGAAGATTTTGCAGACATTGTATATTATGAGAGCAATATTATGATATCAGTCAATATTGTAAAATATACCCATGAATGTTTTAAATGCTTAAAAAATATATAGATTTTGAAGGGACAACTAAGAAACCAAAATGCTATATATATAAGCAACCCATGTGTAGCGTTCACCCTATGTTATGTAATAAGAGATGTAATATTCATGAGATATATGCTAATGTGGTTGAGAGGTAGGGCCTCAGGAGATATTAAAAGGCGGAGCCTGAGAGGAGAGAAGGAGGAGTCTGTGTTAGGAATCTGAGAGAAGGATAGTTTGGGGTCTGAGGAGTGATTAGTAACCTGTGATATTTAAAATAGAAGATTAATATTGATGCTTGGTGAAACTGAAAGAATATGCTTATGAATTATCCTAGAAACCATCTGTAATCAATAAACCTGTTTTATTAATAAGTCAGTATTCAATGGACCTTCATCTAACCTAACGCCGAGAGAGGTCCGGAAAGAAAGAACAAGAAACCGGGCCTTCTCGGCAGTGGCCCCTCGACTATGGAACACCCACCCGGCACCCTCGCTGGGTGTTTTCAAGAGCTATTTAGTGAAGTCCTTTACTAAAACAGAAAATATAAAAGTGTTCTGTTAACTTTACAGTATAGAGAATAATTTACAATACCCTGAAGAGTGCTGATAAACAAGCATAGTGATATTAGCTGTCTCCATAGCAGCAGCTTATCTTTCAATTGAAGAGACTGGACCCATTAGTGCTACTAACACAATAAACTCCACATCAGTTTAGATTTGGGATTGAAGATATTTGTTATTTTTGCTGTCAACAAGCTCACATTAACAGGAAAAAAGGTGGGGGGACAATGAAGAAGCTAAAAGAATAGTTTAATTCAACCACCACATGCACTCTCTCATAGACAACATAATTTATTTCTTAGCTTTGGTCACATTTATCCAGTTCCTTT